AACAAACAAACAAACAAACAAGGCTAAAGATGGAAATCAAAGAGGCATGGCCCCTGAAACTCTCAGCCTGACTCGCTGGCAGCTTCTCTGCTCTCATTCACTTCCTCTGACTTCGAATTCCTATAGTTGCCACTTGAATCTCCACCCAGCTGGCTCCTCATTGTGTCTTGGGCTTTTTCAGTGGTCCTCCAACAACCTTGTCCAGTGCACTGGCTTGGTTCCCCCACAGTTGCCTGCCAGGTGTCATAAGTATAGATCTCTGGTGTCTCCTTATTCCGCCGACTGTGGTCTTCACTCTACCGGCCCTCTCTGGGGGCAGGAATACCTGATCCTGTGCTCCTTCTGCCAATCTGGAGGGAGTACACACTACGAAAGCATAGTATCACGCTCTCCGAAGGCATGCTCTCTGTTCCAGACTGGCTGCTCTTGGCACCTGAGGTAAGCACCTTTTGTTCAAGTTTCTCGGAGCTTTTCCCCTGCCCCACTCTTTTCCCCTCACACCTGTCTACAACTGAGGACTGGATGTAGATAAAGCAATGGAAGCTGAACCAAAAGGGGACAAAGATGTGATGGTGGTTAGCAGTCCTCATGACTTGGGGTGGGGGCATGAGACCTGTCACTGATGGAGATCAGCCTCCCTTTGTCAGTCAGGTTTGCAGTCTTGTGTTACTTCTGGATCCTCTGCTGCACCTGGATGTTCAGATGGTGGGGCTGGGTAGGAGTGCCTTTCATCAGCTCTGCCTGGGGTGAAAGGTGTGTCCCTTTCCTTCAGCTTCACCGCAGCCACCATCGTTCATGCTTTAGTAATCTTGAGGGTAAACTACTACAGTGTGCTTTGAGGGGCTGTCCCTGATAACTGTCTTGACGCTGCAGCTCATGCAGAACATGCTGGCCTGCCTTGTGACAAAACTGTGTTTTACTACTCTCCTAGGTGGGTAATTTTTACTAATATTTAACCTAAACTTCCCTTGCTGCAACTTGAGACGATTGATCCTTGTTCTGTCATCTGCCACCACTAAGAATAGCCTAGCTCTATCCTTTTTTGAACCCCCCTAAGGTAGTTGAAGACTGCTATTAAGTCTCCTCTTCTCTAGATTAAATAAGCCCAGTTCCCCCAGTCTTTCCTTGTAAGTCATGTCTCCCAGCCCCCTCACCATTTTGTCGCCCTCTGCTGGACTCTCCAATTTGTTCACATCCTTTTTTGTAGCAGGGGCCCAAAACTGAACACAGTACTCCAGATGTGGCCCCACCAGTGCTGAATAGAGGGAAATAATCACTTCACTTGACCTACTGGCAACATCTACCAATGCGGCCCAGAATGCTGTTAGTCTTCTTGGCAACAAGGGCACACTGCTGACTCATATTCAGCTTATTGTCTACTGGGTTTTGTTCGGCAGGGCGGCGCCCCGGCCAGCCAGCCCCCAGCCTGTACCACTGCATGGGACTGTTCCATCCTAAGTGCAGGACTTTGCACTTGTCCTTGTTGAACCTCATGAGATTCCTTTTGCCCCAATCCTCCAATTTGTCCAGGTCCCTCTGAATCCTAGCCCTACCCTCCAGTGTACCTATTATTCCCCACAGCTTGGTGTCATCTGCAGACTAGCTGAAGGTGCACTGATGACCATTCTCCATGTCACTGATGAAGAAATTGAACAAAACTGACCCCAGGACCGATCCCTGGGGTACTCCATTTGGTACCAGCTGCCAACTAGACATCGAGCCATTCATTACTACTTTCTGAGCCCAGTGCTGCAGCCAGTTTTTTATCCACCTTACAGTCCATTCATCCAGCACATACTCCCTTAGCTTGCCTGCAAGAATGTTGTGGGAGACCATATCAAAAGCCTTGCTAAAATCAAGGTACACCACATCCATCAGTCTCCCCACATGCATAGAGCTAGCCACCTTGTCATAGAAGGCAATCAGATTTGTCAGGCATGACTTCCCCTTGGTGAATCCATGCTGACTATTCCTAATAACACATTTCTCATCCAAGGGCTTACAAATGGATTCCTTGAGGATCTGCTCCATGATTTTTCCAGGGACTGAGGTGAGGCTGACTACTCTGTAGTTCCCTGGATCCTCCTTCCGTTTTTAAAATATGGGCATTATGTTTGCCCTTTTCCAATCATCCAAGACCTCTCCTGATTGCAATGAGTTTTCAAAGATGGTGGCCAATGGCTCTGCAATCACATCAGCCAACTCCCTCAGCACCCTTGGGTGCATCCAGTGGCAACATGTAGGGGGAGCACAGGGGTGCCCCCCTGGAAACGCTGGCCAGCGAGTGGAGTGCTGTTGCGTTCCCAGAAGTGGCCACAGCCACTTCTGGAAGCGGCTAGATCAGCCGCAGCAATTGTCTGCCTCGCGATCATCTGTGGGGGACCCCTGCTAGTCAGTGAGATTGGTGCGGGATCGGGTTCCCCATGGTCAGCGGGATTGGCCGCAAGGGACCCCTGCCCCCCCGCTTGCTGACTGGTTGCTGGGGGGGGCATGTGCCCACGCGCCCCCACCCCAGGTGGCACCAGTCGCCCATGGATGCATCCCATTCAGCCTCATGGTCTTGTACACATCCAGCTTTTCTAAATAGTTCCTAACCTGTTCTTTCACCACAGAGGACTGCTCGCCTTCTCCCCAAACTGTGCTGCCAGGTGCAGCAGTCTGGGAGCTGACCTTGCCTGTGAAGACTGAGGTAAAAAAGGCACTGGAAACTTCAGCCTTTTCTGCATACTCTATCACAAGGTTGCCTCTACATTCAGTAAGGGACCCACACTTCCCCTGATCCTCCTCTTGCTACCGACATACTTGTAGAAACCCTTCTTGTTACCTTTCCCATCCCTTGCTTGCCTCAACTCCAAATGCACTTTGGCCTTTCTGACTTCATCCCTGCATGCCTGAGCAATGCTCTTATATTTCTCCCTAGTTATTTATTCAAGTTTCCATTTCTTATAAGCTTCCTTTTTATGATTTAGTTTACTTAAGAATTCCCTGCTAAGCCAAGCTGGTCTTCTGCCATACTTGCTATTCTTCCTGCACATCAGGATGGTTTGTTCCTGCACTCTCAATAAGGCTTCTTTGAAATACAGCCAGCTCTCCTAGGCTACTCTCCCTCAGACTGGCTTCCCAGGGGATCCTGCCCATGAGTTTCCTAAGTGAGTCAAAGTCTGTTTTTCTGAAGTCCAGGGTCCATACTCTGCTGCTCTCCACCCTTCCTTTCTTCATGATCATGAACTCTGTCATCTCATGGTCACTGCTGCCCAAGTTGCCATCCACTACTACATTCCCCACCAATTCTTCCCTGCTTGTGAGGAGCCGGTCAAGAGTATGGCCCCTAATTGGCTGTGCCAACCCTTGCACCAAGTTGTCCCCACTCTCCAAAATCTTCCTGGATCACCTGTGCACTGCTGTATTGGCCTCTCAGCAGATGTCAGGGCGATTGAAGTCCCCCATGAAAACCAGGGCCTGTGGTCAGGAAACTTCTGCTAGTTGTTTGAAGAAAGCCTCATCCATCATTTGCTCCTGGTCTGGTGGTCTATAGCAGACCCCCACCACGACTTAATCCTTATTGCTCTCCCCTCTGACCTTGACCCAGAGACTCTCAACAGGCCCATCTCCAGTTTCATAGGGAGCTCTGAGTAATCATGTAAAAGAGCCATATAAAGCACAAGTCCTCTTCTCGTTTCCTCCCTGTCCTTCCTGAACAGTTTGTACCCATCCATGACAGTGCTGCAGTCCTGCGAGCCATCCCATTACATCTGTTATTCCAGTCACATCATAGTGCTGTGACTGTGCAAGGACTTCCAGTTTTTCCTGCTTGTTTCCCAGGCTTGGTGTATTTGTAAACAGGCACTGGAGGTAACTAGTTGTTTGCCCTGATTTCTCAAGCAGCATGACAGCACCTCCACTTATTCTGTTTCCAGCTAGCCTCCTCGAAAACCGTTACTCTTCTCTGCCAAATCCTCT